TACCAGCTTGTTGAGAGATGCCCATATTGATAACATAGTGAACGATTGTTTGTTTATGGTGTTTAGTTTGCTTGTGTTAAATGTTTATAATAGAAATTTTGTTGCTTGGTGAGGTTGGAAGGGATTTCTTAGCTAAATAGGGGTAGTGTGATTATTGACAAGAAGGGAACCATTCTGCCTTGTGGTTTTGTGTTTCACCTTTTTATCTTTCTTTTTTTTCAAAAATTTTTCCTGGTGATTTTTTCTAGTTCGGGAAAGGGAGAGAGAGAAGACCCCATTAGGCTATTGTGGAGATCTGGGACTTGTTTAATCTGTTATGCCCAATGAGGACTTTCTTTCCCTCTGATTCATGTAAAGAATCACAGCTTAATGCTATCAATCCTCAGTCTTGGCTTCAAGTTGAAAGAGGGAAGCTTTCCAAATTTTCTTCTTCTCACACTACCTCTTCATCCATGTAAGTTTTTTTTTTCAATTTCTGAGTTTTTGCTAGTCTTCCTTTTCTTTTTTAATTGAATTGAGATTATTTTGGTATAATTGCTGTAGAGAATCATTCATCAAGGTTCCTGAGCCACCAGTAGTGCCATTCTTTAAACCTATTGATTATGTAGAGGTTTTAGCTCAAATTCATGAAGAACTCGAGTCATGTTCTCCACAAGAGAGGTCGAACCTTTGTTTATTACAATTTCAGATCTTTAGGGGCCTTGGGGAAACCAAATTGATGCGGAGAAGCCTCCGCTCTGCTTGGCAGAAGGCTGGCACTGTCCATGAGAGGCTTGTATTTGGGGCATGGTTAAAGTATGAGAAGCAAGGGGAAGAACTTATTGCTGACTTACTTGCGACTTGCAATAAATGTGCACAAGAGTTTGGGCCAATAGATGTTGTTTCTCAGCTTCCAATCAAGGTGAATGGGAGTTCCCAGGAGACTGTTGTGATGAATGGGGACAAGAGCCTGAAAAATGTGCACTTTAGAATTGGAGATGAGAAAATAGTTTGTGATAGGCAGAAAATTGCTTCTCTTTCAGCTCCATTTCATGCTATGCTTAATGGGTACTTCACTGAATCACTCTGTGAGGACATAGATCTATCTGAAAACAATATCTCTCCAATGGGTATGAGGACAATTGGTGAGTTCAGCATGACAGGCACTTTGAGTGAAGTTCCTCCTGATCTTTTGTTGGAAATATTAGTTTTTGCAAACAAGTTTTGTTGTGAAAGACTCAAAGATGATTGTGATAGGAAACTGGCATGTTTGGTTTGCACCAAAGATGATGCTGTGGAGCTCATGGACTATGCCATTGAAGAGAATTCCCCTGTCCTTGCTGCATCATGTTTGCAAGTTTTTCTGCATGACCTGCCTGATTGTTTGAATGATGAACGGGTGGCAGAAATATTTAGCCATGCTGATAGACAACAGAGATCAATCATTGTTGGGCAGGCCTCATTTTCACTGTATTGTTTATTAAGTGAAGTGGCTATGAACCTTGATCCTCGATCTGATAAAACTGTTTGTTTCTTGGAACAATTGATTGAATCTTCTGAAACTGACAGGCAGAGACTGTTAGCTTTTCATCAGTTGGGATGTGTAAGGCTTCTGAGGAAAGAGTATGATGAAGCTGAAAGTCTTTTTGAGGCAGCTGTAAGTTTAGGTCATGTTTATTCTATTGCAGGTTTGGCTAGACTGAGCTACATTAAGGGTCATAAACTTTGGTCTTATGAGAAGCTCAGCTCTGTGATTTCTTCGGTTAACCCACTGGGATGGATGTATCAGGAAAGGTCACTATACTGTGAAGGTGATAAGAGGTGGGAAGACCTTGAGAAAGCAACTGAGCTGGACCCAACTCTTACCTATCCCTACATGTATCGCGCTGCTTCCCTAATGATGAAACACAATGTTCAAGTTGCTCTTGCTGAGATCAACCGGGTTCTTGGGTTTAAACTTGCTTTAGAATGCTTGGAACTCCGGTTTTGTCTTTATTTGGCTATTGAGGATTACAAAGCAGCCATATGTGATGTTCAGGCAATTCTAACACTTTCCCCAGATTACAGAATGTTTGAGGGACGGGTGGCAGCATCCCAGTTCCGTACACTTGTGCGTGAGCATGTTGACAATTGGACAACAGCAGATTGTTGGATGCAGTTGTATGATCGGTGGTCATCTGTTGATGATATCGGCTCTCTCTCTGTAATCTACCAGATGCTTGAATCTGGTGGGGCAAAAGGTGTTTTATACTTCAGACAGTCATTGCTTCTCCTCAGGTATGCACAGACTTCCAATCTTTTATGGGCCTCCTGACATAAGTTCTGAAGTTTTAAAGGGGTCAAGCTGCAGCCTTTTACCCCTTTCAAGCATTTGAAACCAAGTTTATAGTTTTTAACTCACATAAATGTGAGCTTATTTTATGTATGTCTGAACCTTGTAGTGTTTATACCATGCTGATTAATTTCAGAACAGATGCATTGACAAATGGGGATGCTCGCTCTCATCTCTCTTTTATAGCATCCATTGTCTCCCTCATCTACCCAAACCATGTATGCTTACCACCCCCCCCCCCCCCCCCCCCCACTCTCTTGCTTTGTTTTCCTCTCTTTTATAGTTAATTCTCTCTTTTATATGACTTGTAAGAATTTTGTGCCTTCACTTGATCAGGTTAAATTGTCCTGATGCGGCTATGCGAAGTTTGGAATTAGCTCGTCAGCATGCATCCAGTGAACATGAACGCCTGGTTTATGAGGGATGGATCTTTTATGATACTGGTCACTGTGGGAAGGGCTTCGAAAGCAGAAGAGTCTATCAAAATTAAGAGATCCTTTGAGGCCTTCTTCCTTAAAGCCTACGCATTGGCTGACTCTAGTCTCGATCTATCTTGTTCTTCAACGGTTATTTCACTACTTGAAAATGCCTTGAAATGCCCCTCAGATAATCTCAGGAAAGGTCAGGTAAGGTTTCCTTTGCCCCACCTTTTTTATTGAATAATCTTCTCTATGTCACTGCAGTTTCTTCCAGAGTGTACAACCATAACTTTTGTGTGTCCCTTGCATCACTTCCAAAAAACATTTCAGAATTGTTACCGTGAAATGGAGAGATTCTCATAAAAGTCTACTCTCCTCTGTACTTGGCTTTCTGAACTTCATTTATTTGTTTGGTTGCTTCTTGGGTCTTAGGTTTGGTTAGACTTGGTGACTCAACATTTGAAGAGCGTGAAGACTCTTGGTGTACTATTGCAGGCTGGTTCTAAATTATGCGGAATATTTTTGAGTGATACAATGAATAATGCATTTGCTTAGGCTGGATTGGTCATATAATTAGATTCAGTCTTCAATTATTCCCAAAAGGCCAATTTGGAAAATGCAAAAAATTCTAAATGGCGCAATACGAATCTGGTCAAATCCTAGGCTGATGTTTACTGTTTGTGCATTACAATATAGTGCGGTAAATATCATAACCAATTTCTTGCAGTTTTTAAAGGGGACAACTACTTTTGAATTTGGTTGTGTTTGCTCTAGTGATGCAACATGGCTACCAAATATCTGAAGATACTAAACTTGTGCTTCCATGATTTTAATTTTGGTGTTAAAAAACATAGAAGGCAGGACATTTGGGCTTTCAGCATTGTCTGATCTTTGTTTAAGCTCTGTTTTTTCCAGGCTCTTAACAATCTTGGAAGTGTGTATGTTGATTGTGGAAAATTAGACTCAGCAGCTGATTGCTACATTAATGCCCTTAAGATCCGACACACGAGAGCCCATCAAGGCCTTGCACGTGTCCATTTTCTCAGAAACGATAAGGCTGCAGCATACGAGGAAATGACAAAACTGATTGAAAAGGCTAAAAATAATGCGTCTGCGTATGAGAAGAGGTCTGAGTACTGTGACCGTGACCTAACAAAGGCAGATCTGGAGATGGTCACTCGATTGGATCCACTTCGGGTGTATCCTTACCGATATCGGGCTGCAGGTCAGATCATATATATATATTTTGTTAATATAGTGTTAATTAAAATTTTCACTTAGCTGAAAGTAAAGGCTGTGTTGGAACAGTGTTAATGGATAGTTACAAGGAGAAGGAAGCCATCGCGGAACTATCTAAGGCTATAGCATTTAAAGCAGATCTTCACCTTCTACACCTACGGGCGGCCTTCCATGAGCATGTTGGTGATGTCTTGGGTGCCCTTCGAGATTGTCGAGCTGCCCTGTCCGTAGACCCAAACCATCAAGAAATGTTGGAACTACACAGCCGTGTAAACAGCCATGAACCTTAAAACCTTTATTTTTTTCTGTGTTTCGGTTAAAAATGTAAAAGAAGAAAAAAAGAAGGAAATTATAACTTAAAAAAACAAGGAAAGAGATTTTGAATTGTATCATTACCGTGTATACTAGCGAGTGTGTGCTTGTAGCATCCATGTTTCCTTTGTAATTTATACCCTGTAAGAATTTTGTTAATGAAATTTATTCAAGGCCCCCTTACTTTTTTTCTCCCGCTGTGGCGCCTTTTTTCGTTTTCCCCCTTTGAAAGAAACAATTGCGGCCGGCATGGTCTTGTAGTTATTGTAAGCTATTAAATAAAATTTCATTCGGTGGGCTATTAAGGTCCAATGCGCAATATTAGAATTTGGGAATTTGTTTGCAATGATTTCTCCTTGAAAAGCAACGGCAACTTCACAGTGGTGTAATGTATGCCCCCATTCTATTAGCTTTTCTGACTGCAATGATTATGATATGCTGATAGTTGTCAGTCATACAAAGGGAATAATATCAAGGTAAAATCTTTATTCTCCACTCACCTAGCTCGTCCCTTCCAAAACAGAAATTTCCCACAAAATATAACAACCCGTAACAATGCACAAAAAGTATTCAAATATTTAACTCATTAATTAATGCATTATCCACTTACCTAAAAAAACAACATTTAAATCACTCTTCCTCTAATTATAAAAAAAAACCAATGCACAATTTTATTAATTTTTATATAAACAACAATAAATATTATAAGTATGCGCATATTTTTTACATTTCACTTATTTTTACTTTATAACAACTTTATAAAATACCAAATACCAAAATCAAGCAACATAATTTAGACAATGCAGCGTTTATCTTCCATCATAAGAAGGAAACCGTACAAACAAACAAATATTACAAATAGCTAAAAGGTTTTTATAAGAAACAAAAGCAACATGGATTGGATTTCTCTAAATTCGGTTTAACATAGAGACTAGAATCTGCCAATAACGATGATATTAAATATAGTAATAACCAGTTACGGCTGGATGCACATCAAACTATTGTAGCTAAAGTTTAGAGGGGCCAAATAGGATAATTCAAATAAATAACGGGGGTAGAATTGTCCCCCAGGGGCGATTGGATTGAGCCCAATCGCACTGTTAGTGCTTTGCCCAAGGGACTAGGCAGAAGGCAGGGTTAACGAACCGTACGTACTGTTGGTGCCAAAGGGGGCCATCACAAAGCGTGTGCATACCACGCGTTTCCTCAAGGCTGAGGTGAAGAATTTTTTTTATTACCTCAGACCCCGCATCGTCCGCAGCCCTCTGTTTTTGTTTTCGGGCGGCGATATGCACGGCACATAACTGAGTCCCCGGTCTCTGGAGAGAGAGCCCGACCCTGGCTAACATTCGCAAAGGACAAATGTTAGAGAGGAAAAGATAGTGTCCAAATAAATAGTTTTAATATTATATTAAAGCAAATAGCTCAGGAAGCAATCTGCCTTTCTATTTCTAGCGACGAAGAATCCAATATATATGATGTCTGCTAACCGCCCTAGTATCGCATGAACTTTCAATTTTTTATTTAACAAAACAAAACACAAAAGCAATAACTTTTGTCGGAGCCGATCGCAAAACTTATCCACTTTTCACAAACAATTTTATCTGACGATCAGAGCCTATGAAGAGCAGGCAAGCCTATCACAAATCTAGAAAAAGCAACCCCGAATACAAAATACTCCCAGCGCAAGGCCCTCTCCTCCTCTACATGCCTCCCTAATCACTGTCTATGTACAAACTACATACAGTTGCAGAACAATTTGTATTACTAGTGTAAATCTACACACACACACACACACATATGACGAGGAATCGCTTAAGAGCAAACCTCAAGTAATTGCACATGCCATGAGACACAGTCACCACCTGAGTTCGAAATGCCTGTGTAGAAGATGCCAGTCTAAACCTCATACTAAGTTAACCCACTATTACTAGGCTAAATCTGAGATGTTTCATACGGTACTTGACATATTTTACCCAAGAACATTTATATCACAAAATAACCAGCATACCTTGTGGTCATCACTTCGGCAATGACATAGGATCCTTTACTGGGTGCCACAATAGCATCCAACTAGATCTAATGGCACTGGTACACAAGCATTCTGTGTTGCAAGGAACTTGGCAACTGAAACTTCAGGTTAAATCCACCTTCCATCTATTTCATCACATTGATCTTCAAAATGGATCAAACTTTCTATTTTCTTGGATCAAACATAACTAAATGCATGTCTTCCATGTTTAGCCATTAGTGACAAACGTACTTCCCAAGAAAAATGGTAACTTCAGAAAAAAAATGGTTGCCCTGTGTACTTCTGTCAACTTTTGCGAGGCTGGAAATATGGATGCCTCAAAGCATCATCAACAGTTAACCGATCATCCTACAAAATACAAAATGCATTTCAAACCCAAAAACATCACATTTGCAAAAACTAGTAGTAAAAGACAAGTAAAAAGATAAATTGCACTAGAACTTCTATTTTATAAGATGGATTGCTGCTTCATTTGTCATCTAGACCCCATTCACCTTAAACATCCTACCAGATCAAGAAAGAGATATAAATGCATATGATGCTCAGAAAGCACTGTCACTATGGAAAGACATATTTCTCTAAAAAAGGTTGAAAGCACCCCTCAACTACTACCTTTCATTGCTAAAAATAACTAGATGCCATTATATATAATTTAAAAGAACTGCACAAGGATGTTAAAAGGAAATTATATGCATTTACAGATAAATTATAGTTTTCGAGAATATTTTTTATAAATCTCAACTATTTTTATCATGTCTTTTCATTAACAAATGAATCATAACTCCTTGCTATTCTCAAGACAACAAACAGAAATAGCAGACCTAAAAACTATTTCTTTTGCTCTTAACTACTTCAAAGAACATTGAAAAGTTTTAAGCGGATATTCTCTTTAAAAGCAACTTAAGCCTATGAATGTTATGAAGAAAACAGATGATCTGCAGTCCACCACAAAGTTCTTGCTAAAATGCAAAATTAAAACACATTTGTAAAGACCCCACCAAAAGTGTTTCTATATGAAAGCACTGTAACAGCACAAGAAAGGTAACAAATTAAAGTTTTATTCATTTTATCTTAATAAACTCCGTCACAAAATTTTAAAAAGAAAATGCATCAAGTATTTTCCATTGAAGTTATGAATCTGAAAGCTTACAGGGTCCCAGAGCAGCAGGTCACGCACTAACCGCAAAGCCCAAACATTTGGAAATCTGCAGATAATTTTGAAAAAAAATATAACAAGTTGGGGGGGAATATAACAAGCGAATAACACCAAGAAACATCACAAAATCAGATAATCATGTGCACTTCAAATATTATAGGGAGCAAGAAACCTACCCAAGCTTAAGAGGGTCTCTACTCCTTATTTGATGAGAGAAAAACTCTTCAGAGCATTTCCAGGAAGCAGGTGAAATGCCACCCTATACCCAGAGATGTGGTTAACTACTAAACATAGAAAATCAACCTCATTGAAGGGAAAACAAAGACTAATATAAGGCATCGACAGAGCACCATCCCTTCTAACACACAGTATTTGTCTTTAACTATGACTTAAAATTTGATCACAAGGCCTTCATTAACCATCACCAGAAGAAATAGAATGGTGGCATACCAACTGAAGTAACATTAAGCATGGAAAAGAGTAGAAAATAAAATTCAGTATGATTCATTATTTAACAATTTTAATCATTCAATACGCAATCTGAGCCACTATTCAATGATATAAAATATTCGATATTTGAATTAATTTTCTGCAGATTGATAGACTAATTTTATGCATCACTAACTTCCCCTGTAACGCCGTGAACTATCACCTTGATTTTATTTACTATTATCACATGACAATATTTGGACCTAAGTACATGCTTCACATATTCGTATTTACTAGCTTACACAGGTCATATCACTAATATCTAGTGGTAGTATCACATAATTCATCACCTACACTGAACATCAAACAGTGCAAGAGGGATTCTACTTAAATGGTTTAGTTGCTGGTCAGATGACAAAAGGCAAATATAGTGATGGAAAAAGAGGTGATTTAATATTCACAAAGAAAATTATAAACATCAGCAATCAGCACGTCAATTTAACCAAATAGTCAATCATAGAAACAGCCTTCTACTTGATTAATAGCCTAAGCAATGAGAAAATTTCAAATAAATGAGAGAATGGGAATTGAAGACAAAGTATCAAACAATATATTACCATGCGATATTACTGAAGTAGCATTGAGCATGTAAAAGAGTAAAACAAAGTTCAGGATGATTCATTATTTAATAATTTTAATTGTTCATTATGCAATCTGAGCCACTATTACATGGTATAAATATTTGATATTTGAATTAATTTTCTGTCAGAGTGACAGATTAAATTTATACATTACTAAGCGTCACAATTAAATTCTTCACCTACATTGAAAGCATCAAACCAAAGCAAGAGGGATTCTACCGATAAATGGTTTAATTGCTGGTCAGATGACAAAAAGCAAATATAATGCTGAAAAAGGTTGAATTCATATTGAAAAAGAAAATATAAACATCAGCTATCAGCACATCGATTTAACCAATTTGTCAATCATCTACTTGATTAATAGCCTAACCAATGTGAAAATTTCAAATAAATGAGAATGGAAATTGTAGACAAAATATCAAATAATATATTACTATGCAATATTACTAACAACATGCTCTTGCAACAGGATGCACAGGGAACCAATATAACAAAGAGGACAGAACTCACTCGGTTCATTGCACCATGATGTTTTGAGGAACTTCCAGTGATTAGGATGCACAATTCCATGAATGATCTAAGCCTGAAACCACAACTCCGGCGTTATACTACACACCAATTCTTTCAAGTAGAAAATACTCTCTTGGCGTATGTGATCACAAACATAAAAATAACAGTAGATTGACAACTTTCAGCATAAATTCTTGGTTGTTTCAAATAAACAATTTACTTAGATATATAAAAGCCTATGTGCTATACAAGTTATCAGAAACACAGGAGAACATATACATGAGATCATAGGTGCTTAGAACATATAGCTCATATTATCCTATCTTCCACCTCTAGAGTGAACCCTAAATTAACTGATCAACAAAAAATTATTAAAGTAGTGAAAAAAGTAAAGGACAAGAAAAATGCAATAACAAAAAGAAGTACAAAGAGCAGAATGTTTTAAGACAGTATGGTGTATGCAGAGAACTGAATTTCTTCAATCTTTTTGTTATTTTCTTTCCAGTAAAGTTCTCACTCAAAACTTGCCTATGCATCACGTCAAACCCACTTCTGCAGAATTCTTCTAAGACACCAACTTAGCCAGCATTAACGTCCCCAAGCCCAAGAATTTGCCAGCTTTCATTAGTTACCCTTCTAACACCCTCACTTTTGTCACCGACAGAGCTACAACTAAGCTTAAACCCTCCATTTGAAGCTTATACTGAAGAGAAGCTCAAATTACAGCTTAACTTCATAAAACCTTTTAAAGAAACTTATTTCTTCCGCTGATACTACAGGGCCTATAAAACAAGCCTATGTCCAAAATAACTTGGCCACAATATTTCTGTTTTTTTTTTTTTTTGAACTCAACAAATATGATTATAGAAAAAGATAAAGGATCAAAACTGAAAAAGGATTCTTGTCAACCTGGTTCAACAAAAGAAAAAAAAGGAAGATTCAGAAATTAGCATATAGCTCATATCTTTCAAATTCATCCTACAGAAGAGATGCAATTTAAGCTACTTGATATTCATGACTAAGGAGGAGGTTAGTAGACTAATCGGCTTATCCATGTAGAGAGAGTCCTAATCTCAGAATACATTTATGGTGTCAAAGGTACCTTGCTAGAGACACATCATATTCAAGGAAAGCCTTTACTAAATCATTGTCTAAGAGAAGAAATGGAGTTGAAACTTACTTATAAGCAAGCTCCTTCAAGTCTTCATTCCAACCCTCAAGATGATGATCTAGCAGAGTACGTGTTACGGCACTTATCTGAAATACATTTGGTGACCCTAAGATCATCTCTAAGATCACAACACCCACACTCCACATATCATATCTGTCAAAATAACAATTATTACAATGTTAACATAATTCCAAAAATCACAATACTAGTTCAATAAACAAAAGTCACAAAACTTAAATCAAGAATTTTAAGATAGATTTCATAGTGTGGATGAAGAACTTTGGATAGAGACAAATGATGAAAAGGAATCTTGACATACTTCAAAGTAGTGCTTGTCGCCCCCTGATACCAACTAGCATTAAGAAGAGCTTCAGGTGGACTATAATCATGAGTTTGCTCGGATCTGAAAAGACTAGAGTAGATATTAAGTTCTTTTCTCTTTTTGGAAGTAAAACCATGGATAAGGAAAAACACAAAAGATCTTAAAGAGGAACACACCTAGAAGGTCCAGTCGATCCATATAAATGCTTCATTGTAAACCCATCTATTGCACTTCCAAAGTCAATGATGCGCCTAAATATTGGTGAAAAAGGCATTAATAACAATTTGTAACTCGGATGGTTTGCAAAGCACCTGATTATAACAAGACCTAAGTACACACCACACACTACAGTGGGACATAAACTTTGCCACAACTGCAAATGCTAACCATTTTATAAAACCATTCTTTCCTATTAACAACAAAATACCCATAATTCATATTCTAAAGTCCTGAATGCTAAAATTGAAAACAAAGAGTAATGAATTAGGGTCTCCAATGGCTGCATCACCTTTTGAAATTCATATGCTATTACTTATTGAAAAAGGTTCACTTGTAGCATTCAAAAGATAAGCTCATGTGAGCCAAACACAGACACATATAAACAAAGGGCTAAAACATGACTTCAAGTTTCATTCATTGATTGATATGCAAATCACTAGAACTTGAGTGGTCAACAAATCTTAAAGAAGAGAGCACTTTTGACCATAAGTGAGTAACAAAGAAATTGTGAAATACGTATGTACTGTGCAACTGAAAATGGCAGCATAATGCTCCTTAACTAGAATATGAAAGCAATGAATTATTGCTCAATCAATTTTGAGAATGCAAGGTCACACAGAAGGTCTCATGAAGGTTAAAGTCTTCAGGAAATAAAAGAAATGAGGAAAGTGCTTTCTTATTATTCTAATATGGACCAACCACTTACTATATGTATCAAACACACCGTAAGGCTATGAAATGAGACCTTGGAGAACTACAAACATATGCTTCAACTATTTAAATACAATTCAATGAGTAACAGTGTAAAACATGCATTCCAACTTCAAAAGAGAAGCAAATTGAGCATTAAAGCAGTATTAATGAGATATGAACAACAATACATTCTAGTGGTAAAATTCTTATCTCCACTTGGAATTCCTCTCAAGCATCTCCCAGTCTCCTGGTCCTCAAAGCATATAACCATGTTCTCTTCCGGTAAGTAATATGAAAAGCATACAAATTAGCACAAAGTCAATAGAATAATTTTCCCAAAAGGTAAATAGGAAAATTGAAGCAACAAAGGGATCATTATATATCATTTTATCCCCATGATTTATCATTGCAGATATGAATGCAGAACATTGGACAAGGGAACTCCTAAAAGTTTGTGACAGTAGATGGCAATATTTAACCATGAGTCCAGCATTTATATGCTTTGCAAAGATACACAGCCAGTGCAAAGTATTAGGCACATGATAACATATTCTAGTTTATCAACATAAAATCATAGCATCCTCAAAAGTAGACAAGAGGAATGCCATTCACATGCACAGCTCTCATCCCAGCCCAACCCCCTTAACAGTCAGCAGACGCTATAGAAGCATACACTCCTAACTGTACACCTACAAGCATAAATAATAATGGTCAATCCTAACATAATAGACTAGTTAAAAACAATGCACCAAATGTAAGGTACAATTTTTATTTATGCAATATGCGTTATTAGTGTGTCAACAGGAAATCCAAGAGGTATAATATATACCCAAATACAAATCTTTTAAGCCAATGGGACCAAAAACTAAAGCTTGGACCTAGCAATGGCAGTCGATAGATATCTTTACAATATCCTAAGTCTTGCTTTTAAACGTATAATACATGATAAACAACATTGTAAACAAGGCATTGCCATCCTCACCAGGTTTGATATCCCTGTGGGTGATTTCGCGATCATGACAGGATTTCAGTGCTACCAACTGTGCAAATGAAAAGAGAAGGCATAGATGACGAGCGGTTAAAACAAACAAAAGTAAATATAAGATAGTGGAGGAAGAATGCATATTGGTACATGAAAACCTTCTCAAAGAAAACAAGTATAAGCCACATTTTGTACTAAGTAGAGATTTGAACTGGTTATGTTTTACTGAGCACGGTCCACTAAGTCAAGCTAGAATTTAAGGATATAGCCAAGAGTGCTCAAATTGAGTTAAAGGCTTGTAGTACCATACGACTGGACCAAAGTTTGTTGCAAAAACAAAAGAAGAGAAATAAATTCAACCTCCATTTCATTAAATGAAAGAAAAAGAAACAGAAAGAAGATCAGAGCTGCAAAAGAAAAAATAGGGAAGAGAATGGATTATATCTTTTGAAAAGGTTAGGGAAAAGGCGACAGCTGAAATCTAGAGGTAAAAATGAATATTCCTTTATCGCTTAACATTAATTCATTTCAGGGAAATTTTTAAAGGAATTTGAATGAATGATAACAATTTTAAATCAGAGAGTTACCAATAAAATCATTACAGTTTAAACTTAAATCAGAAATTCATAGTAGATGTACCAACTGTCGAATAAGATTGCGCATTTCCTCATGTCCCTCTTCTGTTGTCTTCAACCAATGCCACCATTTTGATGGACGCAATACCTGAACTTGTTTTACTTCTTCAACCTTTTCTTCAGTTGCATTATTTTCTGCTTCTTCCACAGTATACATAAGCTTCGATAGTGACATGCCCTCATAATGAAATACTAGCCATATTTCATTAGATCGCGATTCAAATGACTCTACATATCTTGCAATATGGTTCAAACCTTCTTCATAGGCAGCCTTGTGCCATCCAATTTTTTCGGAACTCCAAGTGATTCCTAATTCTGGATTCATATCTAATAGGTTATTGAAACAAGATCGTGATTCCTCCAAGAAAGGTTCCAATACTTCAGCTGACGGAAAACTTCCAAGATTTCTAGAGGCACTTAAGAAGACTTCACCAAAGTACTTCTCCCGTAGACCACTTAAGTAAACAGAAGCCCCTCTCTCCACCTGTAATAGGGAAACCGACTACATTAAATCAAAATCATCTTGCATTTTCCTTTTCTGGATTAATGTCAAAATCATTTTCAAAATTTTATCCTCCAAAATAAAAACACACTAATAATCAGTAGACAGAAATTTCTTTAACTCAAAATGTGTTTAGACGAAAGGTCAGAAACATGAAAATGCAACAAATTCGTTAAACAACCCAACCAAAATAACACCTCTTTTAATAGTCTAACTCAAGGCAAAATAGGTAAACTTAAAGGCAACAACTCTAAACCATAAGATGTATTAAGGCAAAACAGTCATAAACAAGGTAGAAACAAACACTCCTTTAAGGAAGATAAATGGCATTGCACAAGATCGGTTCAACAAACATAAAAACCTCCAGAATGGCTTACCATTATGCGTTTCAGAATAAACAAGTTGCCATCAGGAAAACCAACATTACTATCATGGCTAGATGTATTACTACATGAACTACTGCCACTGAAAATGGTGTTCTGGTTTTCTTCACTCCAGCTTGAAGCATTACTGCCATGATGGCAATTCCAACTGAATGCCAACCATACCTCACCATAAGAACCACGACCAAATCTTTTCTTTAGTACATACCTAATAAAAGTAAAAGTACAAGTGTCATAATGGTGAAATGACAATAAAGAACAATCAATTGTCTTTTTCTTTTAACCCTTTGTATGCTGATTGGAGGAAACCCAATCACTTTAAACATACAAAATTGCACACAGTTCAAACTTTATCCATTGTTTGGATTAAAGAGAATAACATTTTATCTAGGGAATTTGAGGGAAAAATCAAAGGGTCCTTTGAGCAAATATGCCAAAAAGGGATACTTTAGTTTCCTCCAATTCTGTTCTCCTAAAACTTCTAGATATCCATTGTCCTTGCAAATGGAGAATATAGTGATCCTATCAATGGTGATTTTCTATCACCATATTAGAAACAAAATAGTAGGAGCAGAATGTTATCCTTGGAAAAGCAGTCCATATCATTTTTAATGACAAAAATGTCTCTAATTTGATCTAAACCCATATGTACAAGGATGCGAAGAAAAATAAATAAATAAATAAATAAATGACAATACTATGAATGGAGTATAAATATATAAATATCTGTTTATTTTACATATGTTTGCATGAATTAGGGCAATTTTGTCCAAAGATCACTGCCAAGGAGGCGATCCAACATTATTAAGATTTTGGAAGGTAATTAATGCCTTTAAATTCAGTGAGGGAGGATCAATACCAAGGAAGATCACCAAGCTAACGCCAAATAGGGAGGAAAGCATTAAGGAAGGAAAAGAATATACCTCGAATCTGGCATTGGATACTCTTCTGACCCATAACTTGAACTAGTATCATGGAAGGGTATGGATTCAAGCAAACCAAGGAAACCAGCAAAGCCCTCTGGATTTACACATTGATCATTAGCTCCATCAACAGTCATCCAAAAGTTTAAGCATAAACACCGATCACTGTACACATTTAGAGGTCCACCTAACAAAAAGTTCAAAGAATAAAAATTTTTCTGCCCATATATTGTAACATTGCACTATCGGTTTCAGGAACATTAAGGAAGTCAATATGCTTCAGAACCAACCCAATAAATTAAACAGGCAATGGATCAAAGGGTTAACCAACCCAGCCCAATATCCAATATAAAACAGAGGGAGAAAGAAAACTTTACATACCACAGGGTTGTTCAAAGGCATTAGGTAAAGCATGGCGTATGCCAAGCACATAATCTTCCTGATCTTCCTTTTGAGTTTGAATTATATCATCCACATCATTGTCAAGCTTCTCAAATAAATGAAAACAGCCATAACTGCCACGTTTTCCTTCAACCTAGATATCAAAAAATAAACAAAATCATATACACAAAGATTTACTACACCATGGTGCAAGCTCCTACAATGGTGATTCCATCATCTCAATCAACTCCAATGACTCAACCGGTAAGAAGGTCTAATTTCCTTAACAACAAAGGCACACTACACCTAAATGTCTTAAATGGGTAATAATGACGACTAAATCGAAATTTGTTTAAGCTCCAATTAAAACATGTAAGAGATTACTATTGGCACAAAGCATATGAAAATGGCAGTCAGAGTCATAAAAAATAGACTTTGAAGGCGAAAACAGGGAGAACCTAACTCACAGGTGGGCACAATTTGAGATTCTGATAAATCGATAAATTCTTTCCGTCAAACCCAACAAGAAAATAAGAGCCAGGAGAAAGAAGCAAGACAAAATGAGAATGCACACTTATATCAAAGTAGAGTTTCCCTACTTTCTATTTAGTTTTTTTTTCTTCTCATGTAATATATTTCTTTTAAAATGGAACAGCACCAGTTCTTGCCAATATGGATAGTGAATGCCAATTTTAGAGCTCATAGACACCTAAAAAATTTGCCAGCTCAATATTTAAAAGCAGTTAAGGGTCTTCACATGACTTGAAAAGCTATTCAACTGGAGGAGGAATAAAGTAGAACTGAGTCTTTAACCAGACGATATCTCTTAAAAGTTCAACACCCCCTAGATATCTCTCTCAGAATGGAAGCAAAAAATGGAAATGTATCTCCTAATCAAAAAAAAAAAAAACCAAGAAAAAAATGAAACACATTAGCTTCTCAGCCTTACCAATAACCTCCTAAACTTGGTTCTGATTGGATGAGTATGTTCCAACTGCAGTAGGTCAGTAATAATACCATTACCTGATCATGATGGCAAAAGGAAACAAGCCAATTAACAAGTGGAAAATAATTATCTGTCATGGTAGCAAACTTCTTAAATTAATAAAATTTAAAAGACTAAAATGCATCGTGGAATTACAGTTCAAAACCATACAGCTAAAGATGCCAAAGAATATAGTATATAAACAAGATTCTTCAAGAGAACTGAAAAGATATATGACAAATGCACTTAAATGGGAAGCATGCCCGTCACACAGATACAAGGAAACCTTACCTAAACAAGACAGAAAATAAATAAGCCTGCACCCTGAGAAGAACATAGTATAACAACGAATGTAAGGAAAGATGACACTGTTGCAGTGGTATTTTCTCTACCAATGAAGATGGCTATTTCAAGCAAACATGCTAGCTAAATGGCTCTGAGCTTAAACTGATTTGTGTATGCATAAAACTGAAAGGGCATATACTTAAAACAACTAGTTCTCCCCTGAACCAAGTAGTGAAGGTCAAATTCATTAAACTTCCTTTAGTTCTCATTAAACTTTCCTTCCATAAAATTTCTTTAAATTACAAATAAATTCAGTCAGTTCCCATTCCTTTCAAAAAAAATCCACAAGAAAATCTACCATGAGATACTTGCCTGATAGCTCATAAATGAACTCTTGTAGTCCATTAGATGGGAATTCCTTCTGACCTTTTCTTCCACGCCTCTCAGTCAGCAAGCTTTGAGAATGATAAGCAGATCCCAATGGAACCACAATAGCTGCCATATTGTCCATGCTGCCCTTTTCAAAGGCAGTATGGACTAAGCAATCAGCCAGTGAAAGTGAGCATGAAGAAGACAGTCCTGATCCCATAGTTCCGTGAGCCTTTACTTCCCAAAGTAAATTGCAAACATCCTGCAAGCTCAACTTTTCAAATACGCCATCAGAGCCAACCACCAGATGACTATCATTAGCAGTCAGAGATTGCCAATCTGTCACCTCAGGTGCAGCCGTAACACCATAACTGGAGAAAATGCACAGAAAAATTTCAATACATTTTTTGAGAATAAAGAGCTTTTCTTAAAATCTAAAAAGTAAGATGTTAAATGAAAACTGTTGATTGCCAAAACAAACAAAACGTAAAAGTAAATCAGAAAGCACAGACACACATAACTATGTACTATTTGAATAATATATAGCAAAAGATTAATCTTTGTATACATCAAATCAGGATATTTTCCACTTTTTAGTAATACATCAACTTTAACAGAGTTTTTTTAAAAAAAAAGCAAACCATTTTATATTATGTAAAAACAGTACAACAATCTGCCAGGGAAGACGGAATGGCTCCTGTCTTCATCTGCCCCCTTACGAAGCAGTGCAAGATCCAATCACAACTATAAGATGACATTAAGGCAGAACCTGCTGCTTGACATTCTTCATCAGGAATTCACAATTGCAAACTTCAGGAAGGAAATACCAAATCTATACATTTCTAGCAGGAAAAAGCTACCATGGGAGCACCCTTGTAAAGCCTATACAGCCTTCTGACTTTCACTTTCATTTTTACACTATTACACTGCACATGGTTCATCATAAAAAAAAGAACCTTTTAAGAAACCTATATATGCACAATAAAACACCTTTTTATGAACATGGAGCCATGCACCAACATAAGAAAATAACTCCTCTTCAAAAAAAAATTACCAAGATGTCTGTTGACTTTGACCAGTAAGTTTAGTTTTATTCTAAGCATTTTAACCTGAATTATGCCATGCCATAATCTCAAAATTTTCATGAGATTAATGTCAAAAAGAAGATAAATGAAGGTAGGCTAGATGAAATCTAACAGAAACTGACTTCCAATTTAGAACATCACCTTTTAAATAATACATCACCAATAGCACGGGAAATCGCCAGCTGACCATTCACACGTGGCACACCACCCCAATCAACAACATAGCCACCAGCAGCTTCTACTCGAGACCTTTCATCATCTCGATCAGGATGATGATCTCTAGTTAGTTCCTTGGCAATAGAATGTAGTAGTCCATTGGATGCCGTCAATTTAAAGTTGGAATTTCTTAAAGGTGAAACAACACCATTGCGCCTCTGTTCCCTGTACACTTCTAATAAAGATGCTGCAATATGCAAGCTTACATGAAATGAATAACCATTACCATGTTCTTGTAAATATAGAAAAACAAAATCTAACTGTGATATATCATACTCTACATTCTGACATGCAATGACGTAATTTCATAAACAAAACTCAATCAGCAACTCTTTTAAAGGGAAGGAGGAGGGACAAATATATTCTAATCATGCTACAGAAAATATATGTAAGCCCAGGGATATTTTAATCAATTCAAGTGTCAACCAAAGATTCATCTAACCTTTAGCCTCAGCAGGAGAAAGAAATTTTTCAGAACACAGAATGGCTTTTGAATCTCCAATGTTGGCAACCAAAATCTGACCATCTGCTAGCAGTATAACAGTCGCTGTTGAACCCGAACCAAGGTTCTTTCTAGATGCTTCCTTCACAGATTAAAATCACATCAATATAAAAGTTTAATGCCACAGTCCAAAAGAAGTGAAAGAGAAAACTAATTGAACTTACCTTGGAAAATGCCGCATCTATGTCATGGATTGCCCTCAACAAAGCTTCCTTCAATATGTCCAAGTGGAAAGAATCATCAAGATTTTCTGGGACTGAAAACTTAAATCTGTGCAAGCATTCATACCTGGGATTAGAAATCACCAACAACAATAAAGCAGCTATATCCATTTTTGTGAAACAAGGAATTGAAACATGCAGATTCCTGAGAGTACATATGAAAGCACCTCTCAAAGTTCAATTCATGCCCTCCAAGTTCTTCATCCCAATTAAGCACTTGGAAAACAATATCCCGTTCTCCCATAGTTGGCAATCTACCAGAGGGTCTCTTCAATATAACAGAAAATGTTGCATCCAAAAGGAAATATGTATGCAAAGCAAAATAATCCAGTAAAAGTTTTGAAGCCATCTCACTAGCTTCAGCACCATTATGACCATCAAAAACTGCCACAATTCCGACTGTAACTTGCTTGACCCCCATTTTGCCTGCCGCAATATGGCAAAACATTAAAACAACTAATAGAATGAGAATTAAGACAGGTAATTAAATCATTGATATGTACAAACTTCTTCAACCATCACAAAATCAGCAAAAGTACAGAATCATTCATCATTTAATAAGATCATTCTTAAAAAAATTGTCCCAACAAGAACATTGAGTCAGTAGTAAACTTTGAAGTTAATCCAAGTCTAGTTTAGCAAAATTTCTCCCCTCTTTTACAATTCAACCTTCTTTGAGTTAAGCTAATATCATCACTACACAGATTAGGGTCACTAGAATCAAACTCAGCATGTAATTAGAAGTCAAAACTTCATAACCTTAATCTTAAAAGAAGTTCCAATTTTTTCCCCAGAGTAATAAAGCTTTAATAAAAGAACCGCTATAGGCAAATTCATTCTCATTCCGAACCATAGCATATGAACTGTTAATTAATTGCATCATAAATTCCTCCTTTTCTTTTCTTAAACACTGCAGAGTTACTAGTAAAAGAAAATAAACACATTGTTAAACCCAAAAAAAACCCTAACGCGAAGTGATGAAGCGTAAAGACACGTAAACAGAAACAGAGAGGAAGATGGAGAGATACTTGGGAAGGGAATGTGGAGATCGAGCATGCAGAGAGTGCGATCCTCCATGTGCTTTCTTCGACCCTGGAGCATGGCCGATTGGCAACGGGCCGTCGTGGAGGTGGCGGCACTTTTACCGGAATCGTGATTCGGCAGCTTCCAGAGAGGGCATTTTGGGGATTGAAACACCGCGGGTGCACCGCCTTCTTTGTACACCATCAAACAGGTCGACGATTCTGCGTAAGAGGGTGTCGTGGAGCACACAAGAAACCCTAAAACAACGAGCACTAATTTGAACGACATCATGGCCGCGTCGTTAACCAACTCTTGATTTTCACTGATGGTATGTAACCACCAAGGTGAACAGTGGAGAAAGTTTGTGCAGGAAGAAAGATATGGAGCTGCCCGGCTCTAACGGCAAGTTCCTTTGCCAGGTCAGCATCTATTGTAACCAGGGGAGAGCATTGTTCAAGGAAATCGACCAATTTATAAGCCCTTTACTTGTTCCATTCTAGATTTTTTACAAGTTTAGTCATTTTTTGTTATTGTATATATGTAATTTTATGGAATATTAAATACTTTATATTTTCTTGAATTTATCATAGTGATGTAAGGTTGAATTTTTTTTGAATAAAAATAAGAAAATGGATAGTTTTATTTTTTTATATTATTAAAAATTATTGAAAAAATTAGTTACATATTTAAATAAATCTTTAAATTAGATCAAGAAAGCCAATTTAACTCTTATTTTTTATTACGTTCAAATAAATACTTAAATTTTTATTTTAAATCAAATAAACTCTTCTTATTAATTATTGATTAACTTTGTTAATCAATTGTGTAGTTAGTGATTTTTATGTCACGTTATCTGTCATATGATATATTGACGTGTCATTTTGATGACATTAATGTCACATGACAAATGATACGGCATCAAAATTTATTAATTTGAAATTGAGTTTTTTTCTTTTCAAATGTCAAAAAATTATTAGTTAGAGATTTTGAGTAAAAAAAAAAGTAATTACTTTAAGCTGATTATTATTATTTCTTAACATTGTGTATCTTTGCTAGTTTCAATATTATAAATATTACGTGTGCTACCTTAACTCTTCCTGTTTCTAGGTATCATCGGATTTCTTTATACCAACTTTCACTCAAGTAACAGTAGCTTCAATCAAATTGGAAAGACTGGATTAAGTTTTTTTTTTCTTTTTGGTTAGGAAGAATGGGTGGTTTTTAATTAAGAAATAATGATAATCATTTTGAAGGAATTAGTTTTTTTTTGTTTTAAATCCTTAATCGTTAATTTCTAAATATTTGGATGAGTAAAAAGAAAAAAAAACTAATTCTTAATTAGTAAATTTTATATCACATTATCTACCACATGATATCAACATCATCAAAATAACACATCAACATCATCAAAATAACATATCAACATATCACATGAAAGATGATGTGAGATCATTAATCAACAGTTAGTGTGAATGGTTTATTTGACTTAGAATAAAAATTTAAGGGTTTATTGGAACGTAACAAAAAAATTAATAGAGATTAAATTGACTTTTTTAACATAATTCGAAATCTTATTTATATATTTAGTTAAAAATTTTGGAAAAGTAAAAAAAAAAAATCAAACTAGTCAAATATTAATCAATTTTGATAATTTGATTCTAATGGTGTTGTTCTATCCATTTGATTACATTTTTAAAAATTTTAGTTTTTTATTTTTGATTTTTTTAGTTAAACAGATGTACTTTCTTCTAATTTTAACGCCCCTTTCATTTACCTTTTCTATTGGGCTTTTTGGCCTTTTAATCTTATTGACAAGATTTTGAAGCGATTATACAGGGACCATCTGTATTTAGGGTGGCTGCCTATCTCATAAATTTGAAATTAGGCTTAATATCGATCTTGGGAACAAGAAAAATCAAAATAAACTTTCTAATTCTACAAAAGTGTTTTTAAGATGATAGTTATCCTAAGAACTTTTCATTTTTTAATGTCAAAAACTTGCAAGTTACGCCAACACACACAAGGAGGAAGATTTACTTCTTGGAAGTATGAAGACATAAGAAGCTTATTATAAAAGTTAACTATGTTTATGATTATCTACTAAATGTATATTTTAAAATTGTACTACTTCCAAAAATGCTCCTTTTTTAATTTTTATACCTAAATGTATGTTTTATTAGGCATAATACATAAAAAGCTCATAAATTATTTAAAAATTTTAAATAAATTATTATTTTTTATTTACATTCAATTAAACCCCTCTATTTTTATTTGGATCAAATAGACTCTTATAATGGTTAACTAATTATAGTTTGTCAAAACACCACTTATCTTTTTAATATTAAATAGAAGTTAGTGATATGGCATGATAATATGACCATATATACTCATTTTTTACATTCCACATCAATGTCACGAGGACATAAAGATAAATAGCCTTTTGACTAACCGTAGTTAGTCAATTGTAAGTCATAAAGTGTCACAACCCTTTCTTGGATATCTATGACCGACGCATGGACCTAAATAAGTGTAGCTTGTTAGACTTAAACAAACCTCTTATATTCATATATAAACCGAACAATCATATAAATCATTAAACATTCAGTCATATATTGTATAAACTGTATAAAAGCATCATTACATTGTTATGGAATGTTGCCTTATAAAGTGTGGAAAAGCTTTCATGCTTATATCATGTCAATTCAAAGCATAATTTAAAATCATCACATTAAACATGTACTTGCCCTTGATGCTCAACAAGGCCATTGTCCATGAAAACATAAATTAATAAAATATGCACAATACCATGTAAGGTTACAACTCCATAACATATTCAACATTAGTAACATAACATAAATAAAGATTGACTCGTCTGTGAAACATGACACAACCTCTAGGTAGCAAAAAGCTACTAGATCACCTACCAAAAACAGAGGAACAAATTACATCTCCGTGACATAGAATGCTAATAAGAAAGCTATTATTGGTTTGCAACAAAAATATGAGAAATTAACATATGAGTCATAAAAACTCAATGAGTGAATGCGAGAAAGAGACAAATCAAGTAGTTAGAGTTTTGCACAAATATAATTTTTAAATAATCATGTTTCTATGATCTTTAAATACTCATTCGTCAACTCTTTGAAAGTGAGTAAAAATCATGCCTTTGACTACACTTTAAAAATCATTTGAATATGAACACGCAATCTTAAATCTTCGAATATAAAATTTAATCAAGCTTTTGAAATACTTTTTAAACACATTTGGAATTGTACAAACCTTTGGAAACAAGTTTTGAGTGTAAAACCATTTAGAACACATCAAAAGGGCTAGCTTTACCATTCTGTATTTGAGGTCTCGATACCTTCAAGGGAGGTATTGAGACTTCTGGGTAAAGTTTTGATAACTCCTCCAAGGGTATCGAGACTTCCTTCACAAAATATCTTTTTAGCATTCTGTTTTATAAGTATCGAGATTTCCTTTTCATGTCTCAATTCTTCTTTCATAAAAACCTAAAAATTAGACTATTTCCAACTCTTATCCATCCCATTTAACCATCTAGACCTAATATCAATCTTGCATCGTAACTTTCATCCATACTTGGCTAAGAAATCTTATTCTAAGCATTTTTAACGTAACACAGATTAGAAAAATAAGGCAACTCACACATTACCCTAGTCAACAAACAAGCCAAGGTTTAATTACTGACTATGAAAATGTCCATCTCTTTTAGGATATGTTATTGGTAATGATATGTCCCCCAGTAACTTGGGATTGCTAATGGTATAACCCCTATTAATTAGACAAAGTGTGGCACACTTGGGAATGGATTCACCACCTCACTCCCATTTTCATAAAGAGATGGTAATGCTATAACCCCTATTACCTTGGCACTTATAGTTGTGTACGGTATAACCTCAATTAACCTGGGCAGCCTATCAGTCTATTCTAATATATTATCATTAACATACTCATCATATAGTCCATCATTGTCATTCAACATTGTCATGTATATGGTATCTTAGACATGTTCTCATACTTACATCATATCGTACATGGAAATAACATCACTTACGTATCATAATTTAGCATACATCATGTGTTCAATCCCATGTAGTGTACATCTACGTCATCTCATAAACTCATGGGTAGAAATATTATCCTCCACCATAACATCATATAGCATCTTAAGCATAGATTCATGCCTATCTCATGCAATATTTGGAAACATCATCACATGAATATCACAAATTAGCATACTTCATGCAATCTATACATATCTCATTGAAGTGGTGATTTAATTCAAAACAATTGAAAGGACTTGTCTTCTCTTATTGAAAATTAATACATAGTGTATGTGTGTGTGTATATATAAATTTGAAAACTTTTTCAAAACTTAGGTTTAGTCGTAAACATATTTTTACCTTTAAAAATAGTAACAAAAATCATGTCAACTAAATAACTCATCAAATCATGCTTTTAGCTTTACATATTAAAATAATTTGAAAGTGATATATCCATTCAGTTTTTAGGAGTAGATTGAACCTTTTCGCAATTTTTGACAAGTATTTAGTTTTTCTAAAAATACCAACTTTCTCTATCGTGTGTCGAAACATTTAAACGAGTATCAATAACATTCTTAGCATCATAAATTGTATTTTAAGCATAAACTTGAGCATGAATTATCATCTAATTTAATTGGATCTCTATTTAAACTTACTGCTTATATACCAACCATAGTCTAATCTTAAAAACTTATTTTTGTTAGAGATAACTTTACCTTGGAAAGCTCCCTAAGCTAGAAAATGATTGAAACTTAACAATAAAGGTTAAAAACCATAACTTTAGCATTTAACAAAAACTTTGGAGTAAAACCAATAAACTTAAATACTAGAAAATCATTTCCTTACTTCCAAAAATGTTGGAAAACAAGATTAAATGGTTGAAATCAAGTTGTTCTTCAAGAAAAATGAATTTGAAGCTTGAAATAGAGTTGACAGAGTTGAAATGGTGGCAAAAGAGAGGTTTGGCGATTGAGGAATGTAGGAAGCCATTAGATCTCAGAATTAGTGGCCTATTTATAGTGTAGGAGGTGAAATGACAAGTTTAATCCTTATTTTTATGAAGTCGGGTGTTGAAGTATCGATACCTTTATGTCTTGATACTTTATAAAACAAAATGGCTTTAAGGTGTCTCGACTCAAGTCTCTAGACTTCTTATGATAGTTTCGATTAGACCTGGCAATTTTGGATATGATACGTTAACACAACATGGGAAGACATGGGATTAAACAGGTTTGGGTTTAACCTTAACGTGTTTCATACCTAATTGTGTCTAATATGTTTAAGAAACAAAAATTTTCGTGTCTTAACGTGTCAAACACGTTTAAACACATTTACTTAATCATGTTATCGTGTTTAAATATATATGTGTGTTCAAACATATATA